CCACCAGTCACGAGGGGCATGGATCTAGGGAGCATGTGGCTAATTTCACAGTCCTAAGAACCCTGTCCACTTCCTCAGGTCCAACAGGTTCAAATCATTCCTAGATAACCAGACAAGACCCCCCCCCCCCATAAGCATCTCATCCAGACCTGCAACAAGGTCAGCATCTAACTGTGAAAGAATCCAAGCAATTTTATCTGACAGATGCTATGCAAATCTCTCTGCATGATCTTGCAAAAGGTTCCTCAGACTCCCTTTACCCAAGAAGGCTTGTGTCACCTGAAAAGAACTGGGGTGCAGCAATCCGTGGATGCAATAAGGGCAGAGAAGCACAGCCGCCATTCTTACTCCCACAGAATAAGCCTTAAAACAGCTCTAATCCATGTTCTATCAAGTTTGTCCTTAATACGTGCCAGCAATGCTATGGATAGCTCTCATTTCATCTCCCTCAATCTCTGTAAACCATAGGGAATGCCAGGATCTCTGAGAAGGGAGAAGATATATGGGTGAAATCTGATCTAACACCTCAGCTGCCCCTTTTTATTCCAAGACTATGCAGCAAACCAATAGAAACACCCCCCAGCTCCCTCTGAAACCCATCCAAGTTCATCAGTCACCAGGGGTAAATCAATCCAATGGATCCAGCCTTCCTGTAGTGAATATCAGTGCCAGAGAACCCCATGGTAATCAAGGCATGATGCAACCATGACAGGGTGACACCAGAAGCTCCCCTAGGTTCAGATCATATAGCCACTGCTCTGATAGAACACCAGAACAAGCATGTGACTGCTGTTCTGTGTCAGGCTAGGAATGACGTGAGAAAGATGTATGGCTATTATGGTGGCTATGAACATCTGGGCAACCTCAGACCACACTCTTAGGGAAAGCATGTTGAAGTTCCCCAAGACCATAAGTCTGGGGAACTCCACTGCCAATCCAGAGATGGAGTCAAGCTCTGGCAGGAAGATTCCTACACAGGCAGACTTGTACCACAGCAACACTCCCAACTGATCTCTAGACCCCAGCTTAATGAACAGGGTCTCATAACCAGTGACTTGAGGGCAATGCCCCTGAAAGCCATAAGTGATTCTCAGATAACATTTATCACACCTTCACCCCGGCCCTGGGTTCTCAAGTGGTGCCACAAACTTGGCTGGGAAAATTTCCTTCTGAGTCCAGCCAGGTCTTGGTAATATATGCCAGATCAATGTTAATTTCTTGGCAATAACATGGAAAGGTTTTGCATTTGGCCCTGTTTTATACAAAAGATCAGTGCTTGAACTAACCCATTCTTTCCTTAACAATAAAAATAATGTGAAAGCTCCTATTGTACCTTTTCTCAACTAAATACCTTCCAGATATATTGGAACATCCTTCAGAATTCCCAGCCAGATGCCTATTTCCATTTAAAGTTTTCTGGTTCCAGTACATCTGGACAGCATCAGCTGAAGGTGATTCTAATCCAGCTGTTAAATGTTATTATTTCAGATGGCTTACTGAGCAGGGCTGGCTCTGAATAAGAGTTGGGTGGGAGAAGATCATGGAATTCCACAACTATAGACTAGATTAGAATAAAAAAAGCACATCACAAGGTGCAACAGCTATATGGTTATACAGGGTTTTTATGTACAGTTTTAATTACTAGAGATATGATGAGATGGAGTGGGTGTCATGGTTCCAAAAAGAAGCAGCTTTTCAAAGAACTTTGAGGCTTATTTACCTTAAAGAATCCTTTTATTGCTACATAGCTTCGGGAAGTACAATAATGAAGCCAAAAAGTGAAACCTCCCACCCCCAATCACCCGTGACAAAGCATAACTCACTCCTTCATTTTACAGTCATCAATCACATTCTCCAATTAGTGTGAAGTGTGAATTGTCCCCCCCCTACTCCTCCTGTTACAGCTGACCTTGGCAGTGCTGTGCTGAAGTATTGTTATGGTTAACTAGCATATTTTCCCATCCACTAGGCTAGTATTGTCTGCTTTAACTCTAGAAGTGATATGCAGTCTAAATAAAACATGTTTGCTTCTTCACATATGGCAAGCAAGAACATCCGATGTTAGCAGTCTTGACAGTGGGAATGAGACATCAAAGTACTGCTAAAATATGGCAGCATTTTACACTTTATTTCAATTCTTTTTTAACATGCTATTCCCTGTGCCATTTGCCCATGGTAAATGTATAGAGATCAATCTTTAAATAGAGGTCTTTTGGTAGAAAACAATTAGCTAAGCAAATTGGTTCTTTGTGCATATCTCCATCTACTGGTAAAGTGTTGTAGAGCAGAGAAGCTAATTTTCAGTAAAAAGATGCAATTATTATAAATAGATTATAAAATATTTACTTACCGTAATATCCCTTTTGATTCTGGGACACCACAATGCAAACATTTTTACTGCAGGAAATTGTAGTTCATATATTATACTCTTTGGGCCATATATTTTTGCTGTCACACATATTTGTTTGTAGGGATTTGCACATAGTATTAAAAAGAGATATACCATATGTACTATCAAGGGAAGTGGCATATCAATATTTTAGCTGTATGTAAACAATATAGATTATTTAAGTTATATTTTGTAAAATTGATAATTGTTATGCAGATGCATTTGTTTTCTGATAATAACCTCATTAATTATATTTACATATAAAGCAGCTGAAATAACAGAACATTTCTCTAATATGTTCTTAAATTTCAAGCTGCAATTCTACATTATTGCTTATGGACATAACAGCCCCATTCTGTCAAATCAAAAACATGTAAATGTATTGAAATCAAATATGCCTAATTTTACATAAGATCACACAAAAATATAAAACATTTAAGATAAATGCCACTAAGAATCTTATTTGTAAATATGAACTACAGATTCATACCCCATCTACTGGTAGAATAATTTCATTAATATATTTAAATAATTAAGAAATTCCTGTAATTGCAATTATTTACAGCAGTCCGTAGAGCAGACTGTTACAGCTTCTTGCACTGATAACATCTATTTGGTTTCTCCTGACTGAAATTGGTATTATGGTTGTTCCTTAGTGTTTGGAATATTTATTTCATAATAAAATTATAAAAACAAAACCATAAAAGACAGCCAAGAATGCAAATTAAAATAAGCAAAAATAAGGTAAGAGAACACCTGTCATCTCTTGACACATTCAAATCTCTGGGTCCTAATGGATTATATCCCAGAATTTTGAAGGAACTGACAGACATGATCTCAGAACCACTGAATCATATCTTTCAAAGTTCTTAGAACCCTAGAAATAGTTTTTGATCTTCAGAGATGCATATGAAAAGTTCTGTCTTCTCAAGCTCAACATGTATGGGTCCTTAGATCTCTCTTCTTAAAGCTTTGCTTTTAGTACCATAACTATCATTATAAACCATCTTTGAACATATTCTAAGTCGTTAAAGAGATAGAGTTTGATAATACAGTACATGGAGGTGTGACCTATTCAGAGAAACTATTACTTCCAATTATTTGGAAACTATAATACCTTTGATAAAGCATGTTTACGTTCTTTTTTTTTGTAGGCACATAGCACTATTCAAGGCTTATATTCAAGAAGAAACAACCACATAAGAAGATTATGAAGAAAATATGACTGTATATGAAAGGTCATTTTTGAGAACCATAGTAATATGGTAGTTGAAGTGCTTGACTGTCACAGGGTGACCCAGGCTGTGGTCCACTCAGCCACATAAACTCACTGGCTTTGGATCAACCACACTCTTGCAGCCCAGCTCACTTCTCAGAATTAAAGATGGGGGGAAGGGGGAAGGAGGAGCCTGCAGCTGAGTTCTTGTATGGTGGGTAATCTAACAAAACAATCTGTACCAACAGTCATTGAAAAAACAAGTAGATGGCTTTTATACGTAAAAAGCCATATATGTAGTGGGTCAGATCAAAGTCCACAATGTTCCTGGTAAACCAAGCAGGACAGGAGGGAAAATAACTTGCTAAACTGTTCTGACCAACAACAGATATTTTAAGAATATTGAATCTTACACAAGGTTTATGTTTATGGGGGAAAAGTGACCCATTCTCATCCTTCTCTTAGAAAAAGTATCCTAAAAGTTTTAGAAGAGGAATCCAGTTAATGACACAAGATTATGTACTGCAGTTCATGTATGGTCCTGGTGAATCAGTAACCTTAAGTTTAATTTGGCGATATCTGAAGAGGTGGGGGGAAAATTTGCTTAGCAAAATATGTAGCCCTTTCCTCCATAATAGTTTGCATATCCATCAAACCATGTCACTATAAACCACATGCAAATTAAGTGACATGAAGTTATCATCGACTCTTAGCGACCACCTACATAGGTTTTCTCCATGACATCCACATCTATTGTGAAAGTAATTTTCAAATTTATCAGAGCTCCCAGACAGCTAGAAGCAAGATAAAAATGTACAGTTCGGATTCAGTGTTTCTCAACCTTGACAATTTTAAGGCATGTGGACTTCAACTCCCAGAATTCCACAGCCAGCATTGCTGGCTGTGGAATTCTGGGAGTTGAAGTCCACATGCCTTAAAATTGTCAAGGTTGAGAAACACTGGGATAGGTTGAAAGTAGGGCATAATTTATATTTTAATAGAAAAACAGGAACGTTTTAGTCATCTGATCAACTAACACTTTATTTCCGTCAGAAACAAGCGCACGTCAATTGTATCACGCAAAAAACACAAGCAGCGATCCTTCATCAGAATAACTGCATAAATGTCAGCATATGGTACAACTTTTATAGTTATGAACAGACAGAAGTCGGTAGATTTAGAGAACGCGACCGCTGCTCCCCCACCCTTAGAAGATATTAATATTTACGCATTAACCGCGCCTTAAGTCTCTTGGCATAGGGACAGATTCCTTTGACTCCGCCCTTGCCTGGTAACGTCATAAAAGTGCTGCCTTATTCACCTCCCGGAAGCGCGATGACAAGATATGGAGTTTTTTTCGACCGCTCTTTCCTTTACAGGCTGTAGTTTTCGAATGTTCTGGAGGCGTTTTGTCGCATTGGTCCCCGCACTTTCTGTTCTCGGCGCGCAACTGCGTAGTGCGGAAAAGACCTTCCGGACTGTCAGATACGCTGGGCGGAAGATAAAGTGGAGTTGCTCCTGTAATCTGGATCAACCTAAATTCTGGGAACTGCTGCGAGCGAGTTTTAAGAAGCTCTACTGACGCTCATTGGCTTCCCCGGACAGTTTGGGCTCTGGGCCGCTCGTTTCATCGGTATCTTTAGGTAGGCTGTGAAAATCTTCGCTGTGAAATCCCACTGCTGAGTCCTCGGGAGAAGAGCCACTAGCCTCTGACCACGTGTTAGTCTTTCCAATCTGACAGTGTCACCAGATGTGTTGCGATTTCCAGAATTCCGGTACTGACTGGAAGTTTGGAGTTTTCAAGGAGCACATCTGGAGAACACCAGGTTTCAGGAAAGCATGCCATTTCTTACCTATAAGTTTTCTTTTTAAAGTGTTGCAGTGCTGTTGTGATGGTAGCTAATATATTAACTGCATTCTATTTTTTTTAGTTTTAATTGAATCTCAATGCATTTCAGTTTGGGTGGAGGGTTGTGCAACTTTTTGGGAGCTCCCAATGTTCACTGAATGGCCAACTGCAAGTTTTCTTTGAAAAAAAGCTGTATGCTTTTGCTGAGAGCAGTATGCCTCCAGGTGTCATGCATGTCAATCCCTTCAGCCCTACCTAGGGTATATGGTTAATAATATAGGATGATGGGAATTGGAGTCCAACATTTCTAAGGCAACAAACTGCTCAACTTTGGCCTACAAGGTTCTAATTATTTTCAGAGGAACTTTCAGATGTTTAGAATGAGTGAGATGTTATCTCAGAACCATTGCACCATATCTTCCAAAAATCCTGGAAACCGGAAAATTACCTGAGGATTGGAAAAAAAATTACCTGAGGATTGTAGTTTCCCGGGAAACTACAGACCAATCAGTCTAACTTCAATACCTGGGAAGATCCTGGAAAAGATAAATCAAAAAACAGATCTGCGAACAGCTAGAAGCAAACAAAGTCATAACCAGTAGCCAGCATGGGTTTGTTAAAAACAGATGCCAAACCAATCTTTATTTCATTCTTTGATAAAGTGACTAAACTAATAAACCAGTGAAATACTGTGGACGTAGTATACCTAGACTTCAGTAAGGCATTTGATAAGGTAAACCACAATCTACTCCTAGGCAAGCTAGAAAAAGGTGGAATAGACAATATCACCACCAGATGGATCTGTAGCTGGCTGGCAAACCAACACCCCAGAAGACAAACTTGGGATCCAAAAAGATCTTGACAAACTTGAACAATGGGCCCTGTCCAACAAAATGAATTTCAATGTGGAGAAAGCAAAGTGTTAGATTTAGGCAGGAAGAATCAAAGGGACAAGTACAGACTGGGTGAGACCTGGCTTAAAAACAGTAACTGTGAGAGAGACCTTGGAGTCCTAGTGGACGATCACTTGACTATGAGCCAGCAGTGTGCAGCAGCAGCCAAAAAAGCTAATACAATTCTGGGTTGTATAAACAGAGGCATCAAGATCATATGAAGTATTAATACTGCTTTATAAAACCCTAGTAAGACCACACCTGGAATACTGCAGCCAATTTTGGTCACCATATCACAAAAAAGATGTTGAGAGTTTGGAAAAAATTCAGAGAAGAGGAACTAAGATGATGCAAGGCCTGGAGACTAAAACATATGAAGAACGGCTGCAGGACTTGGGTCTGACTAGTATAAAGAAAAGAAGAAATAGGGGAGACATGACAGTAGTATTCCAGTACTTGAGGGGCTGCCACAAAGAAGAGGGGGTCACATTCACCAAAGCACCAGAGGGAAGGACGAGAAACAATGTTTGGAAACTGAACAAAAAGAGAAGCAACCTAGAATTAAGGAGAAACTTCCTGACAATGAAGACAACCAGTGGAACAGCTTGCCTCCAGAAATCGTGGGCGCTCCATCACTGGAAATTTTTAAGAAGAGGCTAGACAGTCACTTGTCTGAGATGGTATAGGTTCCCCTGCTTGAGCGGGGAGCTGGACTAGAAGATCTCCAAGGTCCCTTCCAGCTCTATTCTATTAAGATGAGCCTCTACTTCCTTTCTCACTTGGTGATACAGTTGCAAAATTGGACATGATGTGCCATTCTGAAAAAGAAGTAAGCAAGCAACAGTTCTCCCTGCTGGGATGCATATAATTCACCACTTAACTACTTGCCTTCCATCTTAGTTTGGTGGATATTATGGTTAAATATGGAGCAGCCATCATTAAGTAGAAATACCATCTCTGCCAAGAAAAGAGTGTATGTGGTTAAGGGTATACCTTTACTCAGATGTTCTAGTCTGATCAATTTGTGGACTGGGCTTTAGGTTGATCATTCTTTATTTGGTATGAATTCTGGCTTTTTAATACTCAGAAGAACCATTAATGAAACTTTTTACATTATCTGTTCCCATTAGGAAAAATTCTCCTTGTTTTCCTTTTGGGAAAAAACTAATGGCAGAGGATATTAACAGGAAGGAAAAAGAGCCAGAGCAGATCTTGTAACTATAACTGAGAGCTGCATATCTTGCTGGATTGCACTAAATAAAAAGCAGGCATCTGTTTATCCGTTTTAAAAAGTAGTGTAACCCTGCTCTATCAGCAGCTATTTCATCTTACAAATTCACAAAGAATTGCAGCTGCTACCTGAGCTGCTCAGGTACTTCCATACAGATAAAAACTTTGGTAATTGGCTGGAAACATCTGATCTCTGATAGGCCAATCAGCCAGCACTCTGATTGGCTGGAATCTGGCCCCTTGAACTGAGAACAGGAAGGGGGGGAGTAAGGAACTGGAGGAAAAAGGCCTGGGGGGGAAAGGATTCACATGGAGTAGGGAAGAAGCAGAGGGTCACACTGTTAAGGCTGTGGACACGTTGTTCCTAGCGAGAACTGCTGCATCTTGGGCTGTGGACTGCATCCCTCTGCAACAGTCCTAAAACATGGCGGAGTTCAGGAGTGACTGCATTCCTGATCCAACACAATTTCCTGATTTATCATCTCTGGCTAGAGAGATGGGCCTCATAAACCATCTTGCCAGATCTGCAGAGGGAGTACCCAGGTGGAAGTCAGAAGGATTGGCCATTTGACCATGGAACACTTTCTGTGACTTATTTGTGTCTTCTATCCGAGAGCTCTAACGTTTTGGGCCCATACATTGGTTGCCACCTAACCACTGATCAGTAGATAGGGAGGGATTGTGCCTCAATTAGATTCCATTAGAGACATTAGGACATTCAGTTTAAATGACATCACCTAACATAAAGGGTAATTTCTTACTGTGTTATCTATATTCAGAAGGCTCTGATCTTCAGCGGCTCCTTTTTTAATAGTTTTTATTATCAGAGACATAATTTGTACCAAACTGCAACTGTGAGCCCTTTCCTCAGTCTGTTACACCTTTTTGTGTTAAAGAGCACAAAGTATTTCTTGGTGGAACAGAAGCTCCACCTACCTGCTGTAATATTTGTAAAGAGTTGCTCACATAAACCAAAGGATTTTTTCCACCATTTTCCATAACAGCAGGCATGCAGTCTATGCCGTTTAGAAATGGTTCCCCATGATCATCATGCTTTACAAAGCATCTGCTACGTTTTTGTTACTTTTGGAATGAAACGTACAGTAAAATTTGTGACATTTTAGTGCTTCCATAATTAAATATTAGAAGCTCTTCCTGCTATTGGCTCACAGTTAGGTCACTTTCCTTGTACAGTGATCAGATGACTGTCACCTCATTGATTAAATGTTGAGATGCTATGTCAAAATTCCTCTATAAATTAAAAACAGATAATCAGGAAGCATTGTAGGATAACCTGCCTTCTTTTGCTAGTGTAAGCTTTTGAAGGAAGAAATACAGTAAATCATGATTTTCATAACCTGATATTTTTATGCACCTATAACTATTATAACCAGATTGAATTTATCAATGGCAGTAAACATATGGATTTTGCAGGAAGATTTGGATAAAGCCATGACAAGATGGGCTCGAGCAAGGGTCACACATAACAAGAAGGTTCTAGACGCAACACCCTGGGATGATCTGAAAAATGGGCCTGCTGGAACCGTAGAAACAAATAAAAAGCAGAGCTCTCCAGATAGTTTTTCTTTAAAGAACAACCAAGTGAAAAAGAAAAATAAGAAGAAAAAAGACTACCTGAATGAAGATGTCAATGGCTTTATGGAATACTTAAAACAGAACTCACAGATGTTGCACAATGGCCAGTTGATTGATAGTCATCAAACAGAGGAAGAAATAGCAACAGCTTTGAAAAAGGACAAGCGGCGAGAACAGAGGAGAGTGAAGCGCCAGGAAATTAAGAAGAATATAATGGTAAGACACTCTCTTATTTTACTTTTTTTTTCACTGTTTAATATTTTTTTCTTGACGTGCAAATAGGGACTGCAGCTACCAGTCTTTTTTTTTTTTTTTTGCCTCCAAAAGAGGCACCAGGTCTTATTTTCGTGTGTGTGTGTGTGTGTGTGTGTGTGTGTGTGTGTGTGTGTTTTCCACTCACCTCCAGCACCAACAGCCCTGCCCAGCCGGCCCACTTCTTCTGCGGCCGAAGGAGCAGCTTCATTCTGTAGCTGAGAATGGAGCTCGGCCTACATTTCATGGTCAGAGGGCTTTCTGAAAGGTCTGTGAAGCCGGCGAGGCAAGTGTCGATCCATGGGGGGCCTGGCTGCAATGGTAAGCCCTAACCCCCCTGCCCTAGTTTGATTTTTTAGCCATGCACCCCACCCCCAAACTAGGGCTTATTTTTGAGGTAGGGCTTCTATTAGGCCCACCCCCAAAAATCAAAGTAGGGATTATTTTTTGGTAGGTCTTTCGGGAAAACACGGTATATCATTCAAGGGAGATTGAATAAAAACAAGTGATTTAATGATTTTTTTTAACTGGATATTTTTCAAGAATATTACTTGCTGTTTTTAAAACATAACCTGCTCTGAACAATTGGCACATAAAATTGTTGATTTGGCACTTAATCTCTAAACTGATTTTACATTTTCTGCCAAATAAACTGAGTTGAAAAGAGGCTTTTATTTGTAAAAGAACAAAATGATAAATTCAGTCTAGTTTCAAGTATGAACAATTGTGCTCCACTTTATCTAACAAGTATTTTCTGGCTGATAAAAAAAAATTGCCATGGCCTGACAGTAATTTTGCTTAATTAGTCTCATTTTTATTTGTTGTTTCATTTTTGTGTGAATACGTCAGGGCCAGACAGAGCGCAAGAAGGTGGAGCAGTATTGGAAAGAAACAAATTTGTTAAGTATTGATTATTGATTGCATGCCATTAAGTTGGTGTTGACTTTTAGTGACCACTTATAGACTTTCTCCATGATGATTCTTACCTAACCTTGACCCATCATCACTGTAATTGAGTGTGCCCACCATGCTGACGGTTGTCATCTTTTTCTTTCTTTCCCAGCATTAGAGTTTTTTCCAGAGAGCTGAATCTTTACATAATATAAAGTAGGCTAATTTGAACTTGGTCATTTGTGCCTCAAGTGAAAAGTCGGGTTGATTTGTTCAATGATACATTGGTTTGGTTTCTTGGCTCGCTATTGTTTAATATGCAGTTTCTGTGTTCTGTAAGAAACTCATAGTAACAGATAGTTCCTGGTCATAAGGAAGTTCCTATACAGCAATGAGTTAAATCAGAGGAATACTATCTGTATATTAGTGCATGCAGCCTCTAAAGACCTCCAAAAGCTATTACCAGATTGTAATTTTTAATGGAAGGGCAAGTTGTTTAAATGGTTGGAAACTAATCACATTAACTGTATTTAATTTTAATGATATTTAAATAATATGAAATGTTATTTTTTGTCCTGGCCTACTCATCACTATATATAATATGGCCTTTACTGTTAGAGAAATTCAGGGTTAGTGTTCTGGAACTTTTAGCGTCTTATTCAAATATATATGATTGTAGGATTTTTTTTGCAAAACTTAAATAAAAACAATTGTTAATTATATGATCAGGTGAGATTAATGGCTTTTCACTTGAAAAAATCTTCACTTCAGAGTAAGGGTTAAATTACAAGAAGATTTTTTTAATAAAATGCAAATGTAATTAGTATAGAAGTGAATAGTAATGGATTCAGACAGTGCTGTGAAGAAGAAGTCTTCTGAGAAAAATCTTTTCCCTGAAGCATTTCTATTGGAAGACTGATTATATGTGTATGTGGCTTCTACTTGTAATATGTCTTGGTAAGATTAGGTTGAAAAGCGGTTAGTGTAAAAAAAAATGTCTTTAGTCCATAATGGATTCACATGGTAATTCTCCTTTTACTGTCAAAGGTGTGCTTCCACTGTCGAAAACCAGGACATGGGGTTGCAGATTGTCCAGCTGTCCTTGAAAGCCAAGACATGGGAACCGGAATTTGTTACCGATGTGGCTCTACTGAACATGAAATCAACAGATGCAAAGCAAAAATAGATCCAGCTCTTGGTATGTGTAAAATAACTATGGTTCTCAGCATGATAAATGTTTATCATCACTTATAAGGGTAATATTGATTTAAATATTCCAAATTAGGATTAAGATGATTTTCAAAATCTTAATGTATTTCCCTCATGACACAAATATGTGAATTTCTTTCAGGAGAATTTCCATATGCAAAATGCTTTATTTGTGGGGAAATGGGCCATCTGTCAAGGTCATGTCCTGATAATCCTAAAGGACTTTATGCTGAAGGTAAGGCCACTTTTTTTTGTTTGAAATCCCCCTTTTTTTAAAAAAAAAATTGTTGACATGCTTCAGAATATTTCTCTTATCTTGACAGCTTGAGTGAATGCAATTGCTTTATAAAGAAATATGTTGTGTAGATCTCTCCTCTTTTGATAAATTCTACAAATTCTTTCTTGAAGAATTCTGCAAGAAATTACTTTACACAATTATTTTATACAGGAGCAACATACAATGATCTTTTCTGTGTTAGTTCTATTCCAAGAAAAACATTGTATCCTTTTTGGAGATTAGAACATATATGTGGGTTTTATTTACCTTTTCAAGTTGAAATAATCTAATCCTGTAGCAACATGAAAAGTTTTGAAATTGTCTTAATACAATCGGAGAGTTAGAGGTTCACATCTGTATATCTTATTGTGCTTATTTAGTGCATCTTTTAGCATATATTTAAAGAATGAGTGCTGGATATGTTTGACAAGTTACTTAGTAAAGATAATACTAGCTAAATAATTTTAATGAACTTTCAGTAGTACGTTCTATTTATATTATATAGATTTTCCAGGAATGGAAATGTTAAGAAATTACTACATGAGAACGGTAATTGACAAAGCAATCCTGGGATGATTATATTAACTTATATCTTTAGAATGTCAGGAATTTTTCAGAATTTAAACAGGACAAATATAGCGAACAGTTTAATTTGCATTTCCTTTCTTAAAATGTTTTTACAAGATTTACAAAGAACATGAAAACCAAGAGTAAAAGAAACAAAGTAATAAGAAAAAGTACTTTCAAATTTTTGCAACAAGAAATTTTAGAAAAAAGAATTGGGTAAAATTCTGATTAATTTCAATTTCAGGGAAGAATTTAATTTGGCAAAAAAAATTAAGCAGAAAGAAATCTTTGATTAGTCTTTTCAAGAAAAGAAATCTTAGTAAATTTAATCTCCTTAGTCAAAGTGAACAGCTATCAGGAAGGATTTTCACAAAGTACCTTTTCTGTATCCTTTCCCCTCTCCTCCTTTATATTTAAGCAGCTGAAGATGCCCAACTAGAGGAAGAAGTAGGTAGAGATGTAGTAGAGATGTTAAAATAGCTAAGCAATGGGATAGATTAAGCTGGGTTAAAGATACAGTAAAACACATCTTAAAATTAATTTCTTTTTCCTTACTCTGTACATTGTGTGTCTGTGATGATGGAAGACAGATCATGGATAAGGGATATTGAAATAAGTAGATAAAAGGAAAAGGGTCTTCAAAATCTTGGAAACTTCTCCAGAACTATACTTAGGAGTATGGGCATGGGGCTGCTATTCAAAAATAATGTGTCTTTATCCAGCCATTTTTAGGCATAAAATTGCCAAAGATGTTATTGTCTTATCTGAATTTCTTTCCTTTTCTCCTGTACATGATAAATGCTAATCTACAGAAAGTGTTTAATCAACTGTTATAGTCTGTTACTAATTATAAATAATTATGAGTTTTATGTTAATTTAAAGGCCAGCATCTTTTTCTCTTGAAGTAGGATATATTATAATTTTCATTGGCAAATACAGTTTTTTCTTAAATCAGTTCCCCTCCCCCATTGCATTTATGCTTCATTAAAAAAATAAAGGTACAGTTATCATATATGGCACATGCAATCCAAATATATTGCATTAAATTCAATTATTTATATTTATGCTTTTATAGGAGGGTCTTGTCGGATTTGCGGATCTGTGGAGCATTTTAAAAGAGACTGTCCAGAAAATCAAAGCTCAGGTGAGAAGCTTGGAATTTCTGTTTCTTAAGAAGGCAGAGTTATATAGAGAGAGGTTTCTGTAATGAACTCTGGCTAGATAATTACAAAACTCACTGAATCATCCTTGTTTCAGGTTGTACTGATTAATGTGCTACTCAATATTATCCAACTTTTAACACGTCATTAGATATCTATTCCATTTAAATGTGTTCTAAGACATAGTAGCTATTACAGCTGGAGAACAACACTCACAATTCTGTATGTTTGTTTATACACACACACACATATACAGGTAACCCTCAACTTACAACAATTCATTCAGATGCTTGGTGACTGACTCAGTTTTATGACGGTTCCAGTGTCCTGGGGTCATGTGTTCATCTTTTGTGATCGTCTGATGAACAAAGTCAATGGGGAAGGCAGATTCACTTAACAACCATGTTACTAACTTTACAACTGCAGTGATTCACTTAACTGTGGCAAGAAAGATAGTAATATTGGGCAAACTTCACTTAACTGTTTCACTTAGCAACAGAAATTTTGGGCTTCATTGTGGTTGTCAGTCAAGGACTACCTGTACACACACACACACACACACACACACACACACACACACACAGAGAGAGGCACTGAAGAATTTCAGAAGTGGAATATCATGTTCATAGTAATAGTATCAAGAAATTGATTAGCCACACGTTGTGGAATTCTTGTTACAAATTGTTGAAGGGGTCATCTACATAAGATTTATTTTTGAGTAGAAAGAACAAAATTGGAATAAAATAAATAGCATTGTAGCTTTTGGTTTATCAATTGTGTGTAAAGGCTGAAAATGTTAGAAAATATCAATACTGATATTTTAATCAACTTGAATTCTTAGAAAGCTTATAATATGATCTAACTTTTAACATGGATAAAAATAAAAATAAATGTAATCACTATTGCAACAAATAATTGTACAAATTACTGAATTATATATCCTGGAATAAAAGACAGTTGATTTCTCATACATTTGTCCCCCTTTCCCCCCTATAGATCGAGCAGTAACTGTTGGTCGATGGATAAAAGGAATGAGTGCAGATTATCAAGAAGTTCTAGAAAACCCTGGGCCACAAAAAGGAAAACCAAAAGTACCTAAGATTGTTAATTTTTGACCATTCTTGTTCTGTATAATATTTCTCAATATATGACTTAAAATAAAAACCATAAGCTTTTGGAGATCCCCAAACTACATGTTGTTTCCTAAGTATTGATCTAGTGATAAAATTTAGCCTAAATAGAAACAACCTGCAGAAGAATAAAAAGCCTTTCAATAGGATATGGCAAAAATTGGCCGGCCCATTAGCTTTGAAGTGGAAGGAAATCTTTCCAAATATTACATAATTACCTGGCCTTTGCTCAGTACAGGTAATATTCATCCTGGACCACAACTGGAATCAGTGATGTGGCCATTAAGCGGATATTTACTTATGAAAAAGCTATTTCTAAATAAATGATGGCTAGAACTTAACATAATGTTGTATAAACTTTATTATCATATTGATCAGATATTATAATATAAAATTATAATTAACAATCATTTTTATTAAAGCTAACACATTTTTTAACTCGCCTGATTCATTATACAGAAATTTTGTGCCAAAATGACTTGCACAGAAATACAGTTGCAAGATTGTGAAATATATATGGTTCAGGCTGTCCTAATACACACACATTGTAATAAATATCAGATTTAAGTTCATTTTAAAATAAACATTTACATCTAAAATAATATTTATAATATAATATTATAGATTGCATTTACAAGGTTTTTAAAAAATCATTTTTAAGGTGGTTGTAAAATTTAGAAGATGGTTAGATGGACAAACATTCGGTTAGCCTTGGATGATACTGCAGTTGTCATAGTGATGATTTCAAATAAGTAGATGGCAATAGCTCTATTAGACTGAAAGTTCATCCACAAAGTTTTCAGTGATTTTTAGCATTTTCAGTACCGTATTGATGCACTAAATGTAGCTCGTTTTGCTGCTCTCTGATTCTAAGAACTGGATGCACATAGATGCTATATCTTCAATTGATTCCCATAGAGAAGCCAGGTTTCCAGCAAAGTAAGGCATGATATTATGTACACCATGGATGAAGACAGAAACCTTTAAAATATATAGAAGGTCATTGTGATTTAATCCATGCTATAAATTGCACTAAATATGGAAGATTCTAAACTTCATATGGTTACTTGGCTTCTTTCTAAACATGACAGGCATATTAGTTTTAATCACTTCCTAAGGGTTCCATTTTTAGAATACTAGTGTTCATTGGAAGGCCAAATTTAAGTTTATGCTTAGATATGAAAGTTCATTGATAATAAGAGGGTTCAACCCAGCTAATCTCAAAAAGATTTTGTAATGAGAGGAGAGAATTACTTTACAATATGAAAAATTATATGGAAAGGAAATTTAAATATTTCTGCACCCAAAAGCAACTTATTCACATAGATGCTACTTGGAAAGCTATTAAACTTTTCGTTTAAAAAGTTTTTCAAGTTATATGATCCCCTTTCTTTTGTACTGTAACTTGTAAACTAATATATAAATATTTCAAGTATTTATGTAATAGTTCTAAAAGTGATAAAAAGGAAAAATAATGTGTCATTTTGAATGTTCTTCTATATAAAATCATGGAGATGATTTTTTAAAAAAAAAACATGAATGTGTATCAAATACTTCAAGAATCAAGTCTAATTCATAGTAGATTTGGTGCATATTTCCAATATAATCACCAAGAGTGTGTATGGAAATTTTGAAAAAAACAAATGCTGGTGAGAAATACAGGAACCGAAAGAGTCCATTCAGCATTTTCCTCTCTCCATTAGAACAATTTCTTTAGCTGAAAAGCAGAATCACAGCTCTGTGTGCTGTTGTCTTGAATTGAATTACTTTTATATCTCAATGGGGGGGGGGGGAGAGAAAGAAACCAAAACTTACAAAAAGATTACATGTAACTTCAAACCACTTACCAAAGAGGAATCCTCATGGGTGTGGATGAGGAATCCTGCACACTGGATTTCATTCTGGTGGTAGTTCTGATTAGCAGGCAGAGCTTCATTTAAAGCAATTGACTTCACAGCTATTATGTAAGGATCTCTAAATTGAATAAGTAGTATTATGACCATTAAGAACAAAATATATGTTTATAACGTGGGTAACAGCTAGTTTAAGGCTGTAATTTTAGTCATAAGACAAGATAAATGTCTTTGCTTATGAAGCTGCACATTAAGTGGACAAATGTATGACAGTTGTAATGAGCATAGATTGGTGGCCAAGATTAAAGAAAGGCTTCTCTACTATTACCTTCTTTTTCTCTCTCCATTTCTTCATGTTTCCTAAAAACACCTACTGCTGCTCAGAACTGCATCTTCAAAAGTAGCAGCCCTGAATGCCTCTATAATGCATTACTAAAGAAATGATCAAATGAAGAATTAAGTGTACAATTACAGTATAGCCAGAAGACTGGTCTGCTGGGATAGTTGCCCTGTGCTCATCAGATTTCCAAAAAGTGGAACCAAGAATCTAAGAAACGCTAAGACATTCTGTTTATAAAACCAAGGCTGTTTGCAATGCACATAAACATACAAAAGAAATTACCATAAAATATGAAAACACACACACACACACACACATACACATATACATATATACATCAAAGATTTTCAAATTTGATGCTTACTCTGTTTTAGAAGGTTCCCTCTGAGACACAAGAATTAAAAAATCTCTGCATTTATTTCCGTTAGCTGATGCTGAGGATGTAATGTGGTATATTTTGTCCTCTTTAGTCACACACTCCATGACTCTACAATTTCTACAAGCATATAAGGCACATAGAAATGGAGTTTAGAGCTTTGGGTACCACTGAAAAGTCATTGACATGAGTTCTATTTCAGGTTACATTGTTGAAGCTACCTTGCCTCAGCCTTTTTTTGTTTTTAAAGAAATAAGGATGAAGAATTAAAGAGAGATTTTGTTTTTACAAATACAGTCTTATTTATTTCAAATTAAAATTTTGCTATGATTTCGCATATCATACTCAGTCTTCTTTATTTCTATTCTCATTAAACTAGTGCACATTATTGAAGATTTGTCAAAATGCCAGCTTTTTAAAAAAACAGACTATAAGAACTGATACTAAATGAAAGATACAAAATTATGCTTACAAATGGTATTTAGTCCAATGCTTATGGAGTGAGAAGTTAGATAAAAGCAAGAATGCCAGTTTTGAAGGTATCGGTATTTGCATTTCAACCTTGATTGATAGAGCATTTTCCTCCTCCAAAGTGTACATTTTTGTCTAGGGAAAAACATATTTTTAATGCTGAATTATGCAAACACTCAAACTAAGGTTACAAATCATTTAGTTTTAAAAAGCAGTTTCCAAATAAGTATGCACCATTCCCTAAAAAGGAGTAAGTCAAGTATTATAGAACAATAAAATATAATATTGTGACCAATAATTCAGTTTTTATAGATAAAATAGATTTAGGTCAGAACCTGATATATAGATTGAGGAATTGTGCCAAGAGAATAAATAAGTAGAAGAATTGCATTCAGTGTAAAGTAGCAGTTTTACCTTGATAAAAAAACGCCGTTAACAATGGGACTAATAGCATGCATAGATATGGAGATGAAAATATGAAAGTTTCTATTAGGAATAACCTGCTCCCTAGGAATTTGACCAACTTTTAAAATAGTCTGCTGAAGATTTGCTTTGTATTCCCACTTATGAATGGGAATACAAACCTATCACCAATAAATTCTTTTATATGGGAGAGAAACTAAGGAGTTGAAAAGGCTTTGTCAAAAGAAGACTTTCAGGTTATATCACATATTAGCATATTAGGATGCAAGATTAAGGTGGATTTTTTTAAGACGTCCCTTTACATTTAGTTTTTAATAATAGCATACTGGTTAGGGAATTCTGGAGTCGAAGTCCATAGATCTTAAGTTGTAATGGTTGAGAAACTGTCTTAGTCTCTGGAATCAGCAACAATTCTGTCTTATCTGAATTCAGCTTCACCTTGTTCTCCATATTGCATCAGCATACAAATAATAATGATCTTTTCCAACAACTTCAAATAGGTATTAAATCACAGGAGAGATAAGACAGAATCTTCCTCCCTCCTGTGAAAATTCCTAGGGTGCTATGCAGATGTCTCATAGTAGCACCTAAAAAACATAAGAGCAGACAATACTTTTCCCCTGCAATTCTGAGCTCATTCAATCATTTCAAAAGGATTATAGCATGAAAAGCCATGGAGAGGTTCATGAATACTAACAGGGCCATACCACTTCCATTAGAGCAGCCAAAACTATCTCTGTGCCAAGTCTGGGTTTAGATCCAGACATAAAATCAGCATCCTTTAGGAATTCCTGACCTTGCGATGCCTTTGTCACAAACTTGTCAAAATGCAGAATACTGAACTTTAGTTTACAATTGTCTTTTAATGTGGTAAACTTCAAGTGCTTAAAGAATAATAAATAATCTCAGGCATCATTAGTAGAATAAAGTCTTATAAGCCAAGGCAGGGTATGATCTAATAGACAAGTAATAACTCTAACCTAGTTTATTACTTTAATAGGTATCACAGAAATATTGAAAATTTATCTTTAATATGTAATTTACAGATTCAAGAGTACTCATTTAATGAGCAATTTTTTTCTCCTTAAACTAAATATAACATGTTATCTACTTATTCTTTTATGTTTAGTAATCACAGTGAACTTCTAGAAGATCCTTGTTTAATTTTATTCATATATATGAATCTCTGCAGTGAATACACTAGAACTATCTTCCTCAATTTGATCCCTCACACATGAAATATGTTGGGATTTCAATATGCACTAGCCAAGAATGATAGTATTTGTAACCTTAGCACATATCAAGGGCATTAAATTCAGAAAATTATTCTGAAAATTCTGATCAATGTTCTGCCACTGTTTCCTGCAGATTTGGGGTCTTTAAGTTTACTTTCTACTAACATGAAAGGAATTAATTATATTTTAGCAATTTTTTTCTTACAAAATGTTTTACTAAGATAATGAAATGTTTTATTTCCTATGCTTAGCAGATAACTATATAAATAAGACTAATGAGAATCATAGTACAATATATCAACAATTATATTTTTCTCAATTACAGTAGTCCTCGAGTTACGAGTGTAATGGAGCCTGCCCATTC